ATGTTCTTCGTCTTCTATTTCCACTAATTGTTCTATCTCTCTTTCGTCGTCCTCCTCTCTCCATTCTTCTTTTTCCTCCGTCCTCCTCCTTCTTTTCTATATTGTCTTTTTTCTCCTATCTCCTCTCTTTCTCCTCTCTTCCCCTCTCTCCCTTTCATTTCTCCTCCGTTCTCTTCTCCTCTCAATTTTCTATCCTCAATCCTCCCATCCTACCTTCCTACCCTCTATCCCCCATCCTTCCATCCATCCCCATCTTTCCATCCTCCATCCTACCTCATCTTTCCACTTTATCTTATCCCCCCGTCCTTCTATCCTCGATCCTATCCCATCCTCCTGTCCTCCCGTCCTCCATCCTCCATCCTCCATCCTCCATCCTCTATCCTCCATCCTCCCCTCGCTTGCCCGTGCACTAACACAGCCTGCCGTGCGCTAGGTATCGCGAGAGTTACAGCCGCGAGGTGGGGACGGCGGCGTCGCTGTGCCCGGGGCGCGACGGCTCGGGGCGCGTGTCGGTGCTGGAGCCGAGCCAGGGCCAGCTGCAGGACCTCTCCTACGAGACCCTGGCCAGGAACCTCGACGCCAACCTCGCCCAGATCGACATGGACGACTTCCACAGCGAGGACATACACAACATCCTCACGCTGCCCACCATGTGCGGGGAGTTCCAGGTGAGTCTCGGGAACGTCGCTTTGGAGGCACTTTGGAAGGGGGGGTTGATATGGTTTAAAGAGCTTTTTTTTCTAAGGAGGGGAGCAAGTTTCAGAATGTTTTTTTTTATTTTTTTTTTTAATGGGTTTTCGGAAAGTATTAAAGTTTTTTTTTCTAAGTCATTAAAAAGGGCTTTTTAGGCTATCATAGAGGTGATTATTATTATTTTTTGTAATATGACATAACAATGTGAATGATTCTCATATTAGTATATATAAATATACACATTTGTGTGTGTCTGTGCGTGGATGCGTGTTTGAGAGAGAGAGAGAGAGAGAGAGAGAGAGAGAGAGAGAGAGAGAGAGAGAGAGAGAGAGAGAGAGAGAGAGAGAGAGAGAGAGAGAGAGAGAGAGCGTGAGAGCGAGGGCGCGGAGTGCGTGCGCCCCTGGCCGGCCTTAAGGGAGTGATAACCTCCAGCGCAGTCCCTCCTGCAGAGCGCCGAGGACGGAGAGATGTTCGCCAGCGTCTCGGGCTCCATGATGGACCGCTACGACCTGGACTCGTCCGTGTCGCCGCGCTCCTCCTCCCACTGCGACCGGGAGGAAGAATGCGACGAGGAGGAGGAGGAGGAGGAAGAGGAGGAGGAGGAGGAGGACGAGCGCGATGGCGGCCACCGCGGCGACGGCCGGAGGGACGACGAGCTGGAGGCGGAGGGCGAGGAGGAGGAGTACAGCGGCGTGAGCGGGGAGCTGTCCCTGTACCAGTCCGGGCCGCTGTTCTCGCCGCTGAAGGAGCCGCCGCCGCTGGCCAACACCACCTTCAGCGTGGACTCCCTGGACTGCGACTCCCTCCACGACGACCTCATCCTCACCTGCCAGGCCAACAAGGACAACTACACCATCGCCTTCGAGGGGTCCTTCGTGCAGTACTCCGAGGACTCCGACTACCACGAGGCTGGTCAGTATCGCGCGAGGAAAGAGCCTTCGTCAGGAGGCGCTCCTCGTTCTCGTATTGAATTAATCATTGGTGATTCGTAAATATAATCTGCTGTTATGGCAGATTGCAAATTATATTATTAATGATACCTGTTTTATATCAAAATGATCCTGATATTTTGTCTTGCCCTTAGCGATACTGTGTATTTCGAATTTATAGATTCTTCATTTTTATACATTTGATTGTGAATAGTAAGAAACGATTTTTAAAAAGAACTACTAGTATGTATTATCTAATTGATGACAAATTAATTTCATAATCATGAGCATCTTGGTGACATTCCAACTCGTAATGAAATTCCTTCAATGATGATAATAATTAAGTGACAGAGAGCCTTTGACTCCGCACACCATGACTTAGTGCCTCACCTGCGCCCCATTGTCCCCCAGTAGAGAGCGAGTCCAGCGGCTGCAGCCACCACTGGTCCGGGGAGCGGCTGGAGGGCCGCTGCTCCGCGCCCTCCATGACCCACTCGGACGAGCCCTACACCACCTGGTCGAGAGTGAGCCGCAGGTCGTCGCGAACGCCGGAGGTGCCTTCGAGGGCAACCATCGCCCACCCTCAGCCGGGAGGAGGCAGCCGCGGGGCCGAGAGCGCCAAGCCCCCGGCCCAGGGCCAGTCGAGCAGCAAGAGCAACAGCATGCCCAACCTCATGCGGCGCTCGCTCATGCGGCGGTCTCTCGAGGCGGCCGGAGGGTGCGTCAAGGTATTCGACCTGCAGAACAGCATGAGGTCCAGCCAGAGCAGCAGGACGATAGGGAACGAGGCCAGCAACTTCTCGCTGGTGAAGCTGTTCATGCGGCAGAAGAGCTTGAGCAAGGAGGCCGTGAGTCTGTCGTCCAGCATATCGCAGGAGGGCGCCTGCTGCTCCAGCTCGGACAACCAGTCCAACGTGCACGACTCCTCCGACTGGCCCATGAACAGCCAGTCCGAGAACGACATGGACGGCAGCGCCTCGCCGGTGCCGCCGCCGACTCTCATGCGGCAGAACGGCGTGGTGTACCACGAGCGCGGCTTCAGGCGGAGAAGAGGCTCCCTGGGAGCGCCGGAGATAACGCCGAGAGCCAACAACGTCACCTCGAATCTGCAGGACTTCAGCGCGGACACCACCAACACGGGCACCACAGACACAGCTGCTATCACTGCCAATGCCCAGCAAGACGGGCTCCTAAACAACAACAACAACAATATAATATCTGCAGCAGCAGTGCTAGACAACAACAGCGTCCAGCTCACGAACACCATGGATAACGTGACCAGCTTTGAGGACAGCCTGAAGGAGACGAGTCCCTGCTCCAAGCCGCCCGTCACCAGCCCCATTCGGGAGGAGCCGGAAGGCATGGACATTTCCATGGACAGCCGAGGGGAGAGCAAGGTGCTCCTCGACCAGTCAGAGAAGGAGACGAAGATTGCGGACGTGCTCAGGCTCAGAGACAACAAGCTGAACATGGATAAGAACAACATGTCTCCTATCAAGAACATTGCCGGCAAGGACAATGGAAATAAGAACATGAACAAGAATGCCTTCAACATCCGCGTGGACGAGCGGAAGAGATCTCAGTCACCGGGGACGCCCAAGAAGAGTGGCGGCAGCAACCGCCGCGAGGGCCCCAACAGCACGCCGCGTCGCAGACAAGACTCCGGCAACTCCTCCAGCGGCTACCTCTCCAACAGGGGCTCCACAGAGAAGATCAGGAGACCTTCAGACTCTGACACTCCCCAGCAGAAGCCTCGACCGAAACCCCGAGTGCTGAAGCAGATGTCAGACCAGTGCCTTCAGACTTCCAACATGAAGGTGTCTGCAACCGTCAACACAAGCTTCGATTTCGACAAGAAAGAAGTCTACGTTTATTATCCAAATTATGCCTTACCCGACCTTGCGTTCCTCAAGGATAAGAAATACTGCATGGACGCCCGGGTCTTCCTCGTCCCTCAGCACTACCACATTCGGCCTGAGGAGGTGAGGCGGGCCAGGGAGGCCAGGGCCAGGCGCCCCTTCTCGTGCGGAGACATGGAGAAACTCAAGAAGCACGGATTCAGCCACATTCGGGACTGGGATTCTCTGAACTTCCTGCTGCCAAAAGAACTGAAGGAAATGCTGCTTGATGAAACAGAATGCATGGAAACCACAAAGCCCTCGTTCTGCCAGTCCCCGAAGCCCTCCCGGCGCCCCATGAGCTGTGATTACACGCCGCAGAGGTACTCGCACGAACTGAAGGGCTCCGCCAGCAGCAACTCCACACAGCCTTCCTCGGGCTTCAGAGGGTCCTCTACGATGCTCAATGACTCCGAAGGGGAAAATGGAGGCCTGGACCAGAGATACGTTTATAAGTATGACAGTGCCAGCACAGACTCGGAAGGCATTGAGAAGCCCCCGCCCTTGCCCAAGAGGTCTATATCCCTACCAGTCGAGGAGAGACACGGGCCAGACGATCCAGATACGCCTCCGCCTCGACCACCTCTACCGCGGGGCATCCTGCGAAAGACTTCTTCTCTGAAGGAGGACCCATCAAAGGGGGCCGGAGGCCACAACAAACGCTACAGTGCAATTGATCCGGGCAGAGGCAACATGAGGGAGGACCTGTTGAAGAGGAGATCCTTGCAGGAGCCCATGGAGTACATGGCACACAGGAACGCCAGGGAGACCATCCCCGAGGTAGGTGCCCAACAGCCAGCACAGCAGGAAGTGGAGAAGGAGCGGGCGATGAGTCCTCCGTCCCCCATGGGATGCAGCTGCGTCAACCAGTGCACAGGGTTCTGTGGTAAGGGTCTTCAGAAGAAAAATCTGCTAAGGGTCAGTGAGCTGCCAGACATCTCCAGCCACGAGGACCTGACGGAGGATGACCTTCTCCGCATCAGGTCACAGGTCAGCACCTTCCTCGTTACAAAGGGAACCAGCCTAAGTCCTATTATGGCCGATGTGAACGGGCCCTGTGACCTCTGCCCGAAGAAGAGTGTCAGCTTTGCAGAAAAGGTATTTACATGGATGCAATACACGGTCTTCAGATTATTTTTTCTGCATGCGTTATGATTAAGTTTAAGATTCTCAGACTGTGACATGATATTTAGACGTTATCAATGAATTAATGAAAAATAGTTTTTCTTAAAGAAAGAAATATTAATGAATATCCCCCTTCTGATGCCTCAGACATGTTTATTTTACGAAATTAGAATGCCAGCTTCTCTCTCCCCAGACGCCCAACGCCGAGGTTCCCCCAGGAGGACTTAATGCCGACGGGACCGAAGAAGACCCGAGGCCGATGGTCTACGACGCCCACGACAAGAAGACCCTCGTGCTGTCCGTTCGCGCCGCCGTGGAAAAACTAGTCACCCATTTCTCCACTGCTTCGTCACAGCAAGAAAAGATCAAACTAGGTGTGTTGTGTGGGATTGTTATTTTTTTTAAGGGGTGCTGGTTTTTTGTGATAATATATATATATATATATATATATATATATATATATATATATATATATATATATATATATATATATATATTTTTTTTTTTTTTTTTTTTTTTTTTTTTTTTTTTTTTTTTTTAATCAGGTGTGATTCATAGTGAGTTGTCGAAGGACTGTGCGGTGATTGTGTGGTAGAATCTGATTTCGATGAAGTTCTCCTGATTTGCGATATGTTTTGAAATGTTGTAATATATATTTTTTTCTATTGCAGGATTTTTTTCTTTCTCTTTCGTATGATCATTGTCATTTCCTCGCTGTCTCCTACACACTGCCTCTAAAAAAGTCGTATTATTCGGTGTATGAAGTAATATTACATCTATTTAATTTCTCATTCTCACTCCCGTCTGTTCTCCCAAAGGTTTTCCTCCTCCGTACTCTCAACCTTCTTTTCATATAATTCAAACGTAACGTTACTCTTCAGGTACAAGTTCCCTGAACCCAACCGTGGCCCAGATAGCCTTAGAAAAGCTGTGTCCTGCCGTGTACGCCCTCCTGAGCGACGGGCTGCACCCCTCTCTGCACTCCCTCTTCGGCAAAATCAACAACTCTGTGTGGCGAGTCGTCGAGGTTACCAGTCAAATCAGTGAGTCTTCTGTCTTCCGTTTTCTGTTCGGTTTGGGATTGTTTAGGGATGGGGGGAGGGACTCCTTTAAATTTGTTGTTGGGCGTGGTCGTTTGGATGGTGGTAGAGAGATTGATATTTGTGATGACTGTTTGTTGGTTCATTTTCCATGGAGTGTTTCTGATATTTGAATTTGTATATTTCACCTGTTTTTATCTACTTTATTTACTCTCTCGTATTGTCTGCTGATTTTTTTTCTCAATCTCAAAGTTGCTTCTATTTTAAAACAATTTTTTGGCTTACAGGTCCCTCCACAAAGGCTCTGAATGACTTGGTGTTGACGTTGAACAGCGAGGAGTGCCTCTCCGAAGGTCCGATCAAATTTAATGCTTTCGTCTTTGGACTACTTAAGTAAGTGGCGAAGGTTTTGAGGCTTTTTGGGTAGCCTTAGCCTTTCAAAGTGTAATGTGTGTGTGTATGTATGTATGTATGTATGTATGTATGTATGTATGTATGTATGTATGTATGTATGTATGTATGTAGATTAGACAGACAGACAGACAAATGTATATATGCATTTATATATATATATGTGTGTGTGTGTGTGTGTGTGTGTGTGTGTGTGTGTGTGTGTGTGTGTGTGTGTGTGTGTGTGTGTGTGTGTGTGTGTGTGTGTTTGTATGAATTTGTATATGTATATGTATATATGTGTGTGCATATATTTGTATGTATATATATATATATATATATATATATATATATATATATATATATATATATATATATATATTACACACACACACACACACACACACACACACACACACACACACACACACACACACACACACACACACACACACACACACACGCACACGCACACGCACACGCACACGCACACGCACACGCACACGCACGCACACGCACACGCACACGCACACATACACAGGCACACATACACACGCACACACACACGCATACACATACACAAACACACATATGTGTGTGTTTTTTCTATTTTTTATATATGCATATTATTTATGTGTATAATATATGTATACAAATAGATGGATAAAGATATGTAGATTTTACACAGATAGGTTGATATGTAAACAGTGAAATACTGTGGATCTAGCATATATGTCAAGGCTTCAGCCCTAATTCCAACCTCGCCGATATCCCGCAGCATCCGTTCCTTGGACTCCTGGATGAGTTACCTCCGGACGCGAGAGAGCATCATCCAGAAGCACTACCACCCCGAGGCCTTCCTCTACCTCTCCAACACAGCCACCAGGTCCCTCTACGACGACCTGCTCATTGCCCTCCGGCCGCTCGCCATCCTGCCCTTCAACCTCGACCTCCTTCATGAATACAAAGCCCTGCACGCCAGCCTGCAGAAGATGGAGGAGAGGCTCCTTCAGCACACGAAGGAGAGCCCGGGAGAACGCCCTCCATCAGTCCTGGACCACCTTCTGGCCTCGAAGGAGACCAAGGAGTTCAAGAACGCGGTGCAGCAGGACAGAGTGAAAGCCCTCATGCGCGTGCTCACCTCCCCGGACCTGGACGAGAACGAGCTCCTGCAGTCTATCACAGACCACACTCGGGAGAGGTCCCGCAGTCCCAGACCGAGGTCGTGCTACGAACACGTGGCGAATGAGGAGCAGAACACGACACTGAGGAAGCGATGGAGTGGAGTCCAACTTGGCTCGAGGCTCCTCACGGCTATTGATAAGCTGATGCTTGAGGAAGCTGGCCCTTCATCCAGCGACGACTACACGGACTCCATTGATAACCCCAAGAACAACCAGCGGCCCAGCAATGCCCGGGGGCTGGAAGGCTCGGAAGAGAATCTCCAGACAGACCTGAAGGTCAGTGATATTTCCAGTAGAGATGGAGACATTAGCGAGAGGTCGGCGTCAGAGAAGGACACGGAGAACGAGAAGGGGGCCCGTGCATGTGCGAACAACGATGATGACGATGAGGAACCGGAAGGAGTCAGGTTCAGGCGCTTGCAACTCAAATGGGAACAAATGGCAGGGCCAGAGAAGAAAGCACCTCCCCCTCCCAAGGCACCAGCACCCACAGTGCCTGAGAAAGCTGTCAGTCCCAGTAGTGGCAGCAGGTCCAGAATACCCAGGCCTGTCAGCATGACTTCCCCGCAGCGTCCCTTCAAGCCTTTCGACCCATCGAAAGAGAAAACTTCACCCCAGATCAAACCAGCACTCATGCAAAAGCAACACTTGAACACAGCACCAAAGGAATTGCCAAAGCCAGCCCCGAGAAGGTCCCTGAAGGACAAGTCCTCCGTTCAAAACAGTCCAGATGAACCCAGCAACACCGCGGTGCGCCCCCCATCGGTGCGGTCGCGTCTGGCACCGCGGCCCAACTCCGTCAACCTCAGCCTGGCCACCGGTCGTGCCTCTTCAGTACCAGGTCGTGTGCCGAACACCGGAGACAAGACCAACAATGCCAGTGGCAGGTACGATGGACAGCGTAGGTATGCCGGGCAGCAGCGGTCGGCCAGCCACGGGAGACGTGTGGCGCCAGGAGATTCACCCAAGTAGGTATAGGTAAGACCAGAAGAGGGAGGTATGCTTATGGAAGCCAAGGTCATCAAGAAGAATATTAACCCACTGTTCTGGAGATTTTCTTTTGTCAAACAAAGATTAAAGATCTGCTCCAGCAAGATTGCAAACATTAACTTTATTACTTCCTGTTGGTAGTTTCCTATCTTGTAAATGGACGCCATGTCTGAAGAACGGATTGTACTTCAAAGTCACTCTCTGTTCTGGAGGATTGAGTCTGTTTTACTTTGAAGGGCAATACCAGTAGGAAGTATTGTAGTGTATTTTGAGTGATTTGATTAATGATGTTGCTAACCCATGTAATTCTGAGTATTTGCTAACCCTCAGTGTACACCCCACAAGCATACCTTTCTGTAGGCAGGAGTAGGTGAAATCACAAAACAATAACCAGACTAATACAGCACCAACTACTTCAAAGCACAAAGAAGATATCATCTCACCGTTACTTTGGGTAAAGCCATCAGTCTTGCTTAGGGTTCTAAGGTAATGTATCACATACTTAAACTTGTCTAAGTTGGCCAACACTCTCTTAGCTAATTGGCATCTACACTGGGGGAACTTCCCGAGAAATTTCCTCGTAGCACCAGCTGCAGGTGGCTTTCACCTCGCTCTCTTCTGTCTTTATACCGTAGACCAGCTGATCTGGCATGTGTTAGCTTGTGGTGATGGGAACATGATGACCGTCTTGCCCAGAATGCACTCTCGGAGCGGTCTCTTAAGGGTGAGGCAGTTTGCAGTGATAAATGACTCTTCTGAAGAGGTTTCCTTGTGTGTGAAACACGTCTTGTAAAAGAAAGAGAGAGAGAAAAATTATATTTCAGGCTTTGTGGCGTGGAGTGATATAATTTAGTGAAATGTCCTCATTTTAGTAGTACTCTCTGAAGAGTTGTTTGGGGTTTTTGTCATGCAGTATATCATGTTTAGTGGTTTCCAACTAACAGTTTCTTGTAAATGGCAGCATCTTACATGCCATAGTATAAGGTAGTCCTTGTTTGTGCTTTGATGTCACACACATGCATTTTCATTGATGGTTCAATGACTGGATAAAGTGTCATGGTTCAAGGTCACATTGGCAGAAGTGTGAAACGAGACCTTTTTGACGTGACAAGGCTGATAAGCCAGTAGAATAGATCGCTTACGTAGTCTGGCTAATGCATGCTGGGAAAGTATTTTACCTTTTAAGATATTTTTCCGACTAACAGTATGGAGTAGATAACAGTTTTCATTTCTCTTTTTCTCTTAACTAACATACAAGTTTGTGAGCAACCAACAGATCATAATAAGCACCAGCCAATTCTCATATAATAACATAATGTAATGCATGACCGAGCACAGCTGCTACTTTCGTTTGAATTTTCTAAAACCAGATTAACAGCTAAACTAACTCCCTCATACTGCCCCAAGCTCGACTCTGACGGACTTCTTGTGCCGTTGCAGGTTGGTGCAGACGCTCCACCACCGCATGGCGACGGACAACGGCCACCTCAGCTTCAGCCGGGGGGACATCCTGACGCTGGTCGTGGAGGTGGACGACCGCTACCTCCTCTGCTGCCACAACGAGCGCAAGGGACTCGTGCCAAGGTCCTCCGTCATCGTCTACGAGGCATGAGGATCGGCGTCGCCCGGAGGAAACGAGCGCGAGAAACAGAGATAGATAGATAGATATAGAGAACGAGAGGAAGAGAGATTAATGAGTGAGCGAGAGAGAGAGGAAGAAATGTAGAAGAAAGAAAGGAAAATGATAACATTGTGTGCCTGATGATGAGAGAAGGAGGACGCAGACCAGGCTCTCCTCTGAAGCAGTTCGGGTGCTGTGGGACTCGAAATTTATTGGGTAAATAGCTTAGTGCAATAGTAGATGTTCGAGGAAGGTGTCTTTGATAGGAAATTCACCCCCCCCTCCTCGTCCACCCTCCACCCTCCTGTGTGTTGGGAGAAATGTATTATCAGTTTTAATTATGTACAAATCAATTGAGGCTATCCAAGAAAAGAATAAATTACAGTAAAAATTTCATGACCAGCAACCATTCCTTTAAGAAAAAGAAATGAATGTAATTTATGATCACTGAGCTTAGAGCTATGATATATTTCGAGGAAGCAGACGGCAAGAGGACAATTGCTAGCAATGCCAGTACATATAGCTTTTAAGACCTTTTATATGCTACTCACAAAACCTGCAACAAACACTTTAAGAGGAAACTGTACATGATTTTGAGTAGTATTTTCAACCTTATGCACATAATCCTTCCTGTCATTTTCTCACTGACGACGAAAAAAAAGAAAGAAAAAATATTCATTACTTTTAAGAATTCTTCGAAAAAAAACCTTAAAGAAAGACCGTGAAATCCAAAAAAAAAAAAGGAATGGCCGAGACGAGTGACTCCGCTGTCTTGCCAGATGTTTCCGCTCTCCCAAAGCTCACGACAAAGGCTACGGTATCCTTCCTCAGTGTTGTCTTGAGGGCGATACGCAGAACCTCAAAGTCCCCCATAAGTTTGGCATATGACACTTAAGGTTTTCGGGAATCATTAGAGGCGTTCTTTATGGATGGAATATACTGTGACATCTTCTTTTATACTCGTTCATTTTTTCTTTCTCAGTGAGATTACCCAAATTTTACAGTCTTAGAATCGTCATTTCTTCCCCCCCCTTCCCCCCCGTTTCGTTTCGTCATTCATTTTGTACAGAATCCGTTCACTAGCATTTATTTCAAGGGGAAACACAGGTAAAACACTAACAACTTGATGAAAATGATATAACGCTATGCAGAGGTAAGGCACGTTTTTCTACGGTCGCTAAAGGTTCATGTAGATATTTTAAACGCTTGGCGAAACCAAAAGTCAATCTTTTCTTGTAGATTTTACTTAATGGGTATTTGATCTCAGTATGTGATATTGTAAGTTATGTATCCGTATTAATTCTGTAAATAACAAAGCACATTTTCAAAAAATCTTTACAGTATAGCACCATTTGCACTAGATACAGTTGGCTCTGAACACATTTTTCTTTTCCGTACAATACCATTATTTTATCTTTATGTATTTGCTCTCCTATAAGTTAATTATTGAATTATGATTTGAACCTTGATAATTCCAGCATCAAAGCATTCCTCCCCAATGAAACGCTATTACAGAAACCTGAATTAATAAGAGCGTGTGTCCAGAGCATAACGTGTATCGCTGCACTTCCTACCCTCAGTGTCCGGGTTACGTAGCAGCGTTAGTGGCTGTTTGGTTCTGATGGGTCATGTTGAGAGACTGGCTAGTTCTGCACCCTGTTATTGCTTGCCTTGACACTTGTTATTTTTCCATTGCTTTTTAGTTTAAATCTTCAGGTGATCTTTACTTTATTTTGCATCTTATGTTATTCCTCTTGGTTCTAAGTTATTGGCGCTTTGATTATAAGAGTTGGTAGGTAGGGACGTATTTTTTTTATCAGCTTTTAGTTCACTTTTAGTAACCTTAGCCCAATAGCTTGGTTGATCCAAATTACTATTTTTATGCAGTAAGTCTGTTTTTTTTTATTTTCTTATTTGTCATACAGACTGGACTTAAGCCTATATGTTTTTTATATCTATATTAACATTTTTTACAACTGTTTTAAAGATAATTTTCAGCTTTCACTACTGAATGCTGAAATTTTTAAAATCTGCTTTTATTTTACGAGGAACTAACACCTTGTATAGTTAACCAGCTTCCTATGTCCAAGCTGGTTGTGAGTAACTAGGCTTATGGTCTTCTGTTGATATTTTCTCCTCTGTTGCCTGCTACTTCTCTAGCCAGTCCCTCAGGGGTGACACAGACAGTAAGGCCGAGTATACTACGGTATACTACAAGGAACTTACTAACTGTCCCTCTTACTAAAGTTCATAGCTTCCTTATCCTTCCCTGCATGCCTCCGGCGGGCTGTCGCGGGTTTGTCTTTCCTGTCTGTAGCTAGTTTTATCTCTCTGCCTTGGGTCTTTATTTGCTTTGGTAGTCAGGGCTCTCCTCTTCCTGTCTAAGGGAAACCTCAGGCGGCCTGCGTTATGTTTTTTTTTGTTTGGGGTTCCATGTGGTTACATACCGTAGTTTCTTCCTGCCTTGCGAATTCGGGAAGACATCGCTGTCGCGGCTTCAACCCAGCACTTTTATTTTCCCACTGTAAGTATAAAGTCGAGATTTGAAGGACTGTATGATTTGGCTCCGAAAATTTCAATGGTGGAAAATTCTCTTTTTCTCTCTAAATACAATTTATTTTTTTCGTACT